TCATCCGAAGCCCAAGTCGGTCGACGTCCTCGAATAGTGTTTGGTCGAGCTCTTATTCCCCCCTCTGCTTGTCGGCGGCGCCAGCCAGCACAAGGTGACGGAGCCAAGACAATACATGTAAGTGTCAGCGGGTCTGCGAGGAACATGGCCCAGTCATTGCAGTCCGCGACGTTGTGTGTTGAAAGACGGGCAACATGGCATTGACTTCTGAAGTCCGAAATTGAAACTCTCTCTCGCCGAGAGGCAATATCATTGACTCTCCAGGAAGAGGCTCAACGCCAGTGTTCGTTACGTTATGTAACGCATTTTGTAGAACATCACCTATGGCAAAGTTGAAGAGGAACGGAGAAATTGGGCAACCCTATCGCACCAACCTTCCCCGATGTCTGGTGCAGAGTGCTTTTAGGAATAGAACGTACTTCTGGGGTATTCCGTATCTCTGCAAACAGTTCCACGTGGGGCGATTGAGAGTCGAAGGTCGTTCTGATGTTAAAAAACACATTAGTTTCCCGTCTGTATGAGTGGCAGTGTTCCAGTAGCTGACGGAGGGTGATCCGTATCACTATGAACAACCACTAACCATGCACTTTTGTGTGCCGGTTTTGGTGGGTTAATATTTGAACTGTGCAATCACGGTGGGCATGAAACCTGGCCTGCTTCTCACGGATTCGCCTTTCACGAAATGGGATAAGTCTGCGTAATAAAACAGACGCTAGCACCTTCGTTGCCATTTGAATCAGATTCATACCCCTGCGGTTGGAACAGGCGTTGCGACACCCCTTCTTGTAGATGGATGTAACAATCGATTCTCCCCAGTTGTGGAGTACAATTTCGGCTTCCTAGATCTTCGAGAAGTCTCACAAACTCTCTCACGAGAGCTTCTCCGCCTTCTTTAAACAGGTTAGGTGGCAGGCCGTCTTATCCAGCTGCCTTGTGGCGTTTCAGGATTTGGAGTTCCTTTCGGATCTCCGCTTCTGCGGGCGGTCACGTGGATAGTGACCAGGGTGCACTCTCAAGAGAACTGCTTGGGGTAGCCAGCGCGGGAGTTGGTTGGACTGTAATGTGAAGCGCCCTGCACAGCGTTCCAAGCGTCGGTGAAGACTGCATATTGGCGTACTGTCTACTTCGCAGATTGTTTCACTAACACAATCTTTTGGGGGTCTGTAGCACGCATGAGTTGGAATAGTTGCCGGGTTTTTTCACACAGCTGATGATTCTATCTCCTCCGCGCGTAGCGTCGACTAGGCTTCTCGACCGTCTCTCAAGCTCATGGTGAGTTTACGCTACAGAGAGAGGCGCTGTTGACTGCACTCGCTGTTTGCCGGGGTTGTCTGAAAGATTTGGAGGATACCCAATGTTTTTACCTTGCGGCCAACTCGTCTTGGTAGTCGGCTAGCACGACCGGATCAAAAATCTTGGTGACGTCAAGTTGTTTGCATCTCATCTTTTTGCGGTCAACCAAATCGTACAGATAAATTGGCACAAACCAGTGAGTATATGGTCAAAGATGGCTGAAGTTGACAAATGCCATTCCAGCCATCTGCATGCATGTTGACGCTTATTCGTGCCGCGTCTGCCGAGTGAGAAACAGCTGCTCGGACAACAAAATTGATTTACTTCCTCGAATAGCTCCCCAGTCCGAATGAGGTTCGGAGCTAGACCAAACCAGTCCTGTAGCAATGTTTTACACTTTGAAGGTGTTAAAAGGCACGCCGAAGATGGCTACACCACCACATAAATCATTCATCATCGTACAGCGAAATTATATTTAGTTCATGTGTGTATTAGGGTTTAATGGACGGGTGTCCAGCCACTAAGCAGGAGAACGATTGGGGTTCTCGTTCGAAGCCTTTAGTTTTGACAAGAATCTGACCGCAAGGCAGCGGCCAAGTGAAGTGGAGGCCCATTTACTTAGATCGATTACTCCTCCACCACTTTTCATCGACTGAAACGCAAATTGTAGTCGAACCTCCAACCTGGAAGACCAGGAGACGGAAATTCGTCTAAACCTACCTCTACCTATTGACCTTCCAGGCATGATAGGATCTGACTTGAAAAAAGCCATCCTGTAGGGTCAGAGGTGCACGAAGCCATCACACCACGTCAAGGTGCAGTCTCATCGTCACACCATTCACTTGGACCCTCAACTAGCAGAACAATGTCATCCACATACTTCAAATCAGACAGTCCACTTGGAAGCGTACCGATGCTGCTTTCCTCGTATCAGCACACGGCTGTTTTGAGAATCGAATACGTTGCAAATTTGAACAGAAGAGAGAAGGCAACCCTAACTATCCCAGCTTGGGCGAAAATGTGCCGTAAGCGCGGACCAAGCTTCGACTGCTAGTATAAGATCGTAATATCGGAATGAACTTCTATTGAACACTCTTTCGGGAGAGGCAACTTCAGAATTTAGAGCGATCGACTGATTGAGGACAGATAAAGTGAGTCTATGAAAAGAATGCGTCCTGGGATCCAACGAAGACTGAAAATGTGATCGACGCAGCCTCAGCGAGACTCTGGTGCAGACAGCTTTGCTATCGTCTGGTTCAATACCACGCCTAACCTAACCTATCGGGGCCTTATGTGGTTCGCCACTTCAAGTCCCGGGGCTTAGGTTACCGGTATCCATGACGGAACAACAGTTCTTTGTGACTATGGGGCTCGCCCCGTCTGCTGTTCACCACACAAATGTGTGCAATAAAAAAAGCTAAAACCAGCCTAATTTTCACGCGCGCACCGTTCGCGTGTGGCAAACAATCTAGGGAGTATGACATCAGCGAGAAGCTTAGAGAAGATTTTGATCATGGATGCATATATGAATTGTATTCAATCACTGAACCAGACAAACAAATAACTACAAGTGATTGCTTGAATGCGGGGAATAAATGTGGATTACCGGAGAACAATAAGAAACTTACACAAAGTGCCCGGTTCCATTATTATCTCGCTTAATAGATGAAGAGCTGACATCCAAATTGCTACTGCTATTGTGTGATTGAGGGTCATGATTGAGAATATCTTGTTCGTTCTGTTTGACTGGTGTCTGACTAGGGGTGGAATGGATAGGATCATCAACCTTCGGTAAATCGCAGTTGCCTGTAGCCCCATTAGCCGTGGTTCCTTTTCCGCCGCCAGTTGAAGTATTTGCCACATGCCTTTGTGGAGTGGAAGGTTGCGTTTGATTTCCAGAAGCGGGGCTAGCATTCATATTTAACTGAGAAGCGGACGGATGTACCGGTCCCTGAAGCAACATGGTTGCTGTAGATGGTTGTTGTTGTTGAGCCGCATGAACGGCCGAATGACTGGACAGTGGATGAACATGTTGCATGCTGAACGAAGGGTGATTATGGTGTTGTAGATTGTGCTGCAACTGGATCTGACTATTTGATTGCTGCGAATGTTGTTGCGGCTGTTGATAAAAATGTGCGGTGGTGAAAAGCGGTGCCAAAGCCTGGGTTGCTGAGCCGACGCTGGTCCCACTACCAGCAAGCCCGACCATGCTGGCACTTGGGTTGAGCAAGTGGCTCGCATTTTGTACTTGATTTGCGGTTCCACTGTTTGGATTTAAAGTAACCAGGCCACCAGGAGTGGCGGAGACNGACTAAACTGGCTCCGCCAATGACTTGTCCCGCGTTACTGGAAACTTGGTTAATGAGAGTAGGTTGCGTAGCTGGAGTGGTCGAGCAAGCACTCATTTGCTGTGAATCACCCGTTGAAGCTGTTCCAAAAAGGCCATTAGCTGCAGCCGCCGCCGCGGTTGGATAAGGGAAATACATTAACTGTCCGATATATTGAGATTGGTCATATGGAAGTACGGTGGGTAGGGCAGCAGCAGTTTGTTGAAGAGTCTGGAAAAATTCCGCATTGGGAAACACGCTCGCTTGTGCACCATGACCCGTGGAAGCTTGGGTCACCGTCTGCGTAGGATGCACGGAAGACAGCGTGTGCGGTTGTGATAATCGATGAAGCTGAGCATGTTGTTGCTGCATTCGCTGCTGGTGTTGTTGTTGCAGCAGATGCTGTTGCTGCTGTTGTTGTTGCTGTTGCTGCATCTGGTGGCTAAAAGCACTTGACTGTTGAAGCTGGTTTTGTGTGTGCTGTTGTTGCGCGGGAATGTGTGAACTAGTTTGAGGAAATGCTGCCGCGGTCTTCATCGTCACAACTCCACGTGTCCCACCATCAGATGACAGTGAAAGAGAGATTGTTGCCAATTAAGTCAGTGCAATTCCGTCTGAAATGGGAACAAACAGTTAAAAAAAGTTAAAAATTGGTGCCTTAAATAAAAGAGAAGTATGATATAAAAGCCATTGTATGATACAGTTGCTTTCTACGGAAAGGAGCTTTGCGGAATTGAAACTCGCTAGGTTAAAACATCCTGCAATTTAAGCGGTGACTCCAAGCAGCGAAATTCCATACAATGCACATGCCCTTTGATTGGTAATGGAAGAAATAAATGCGGTTAGGCTATGGTATGTAAAAAAACTTGAATAAGGCCAGTGTTTAAAATGGGTATAATACATTAACCCAGGAATCACTCAAAGCATTACGACTGTATCAATGTAATCTCGGAAGAGCATGTCGCAATGCCTCACGATCTTCCAAGATGATTTCGCTGCATCTCAACAAGTTGCATGCAGTAAGAAACACCATATAGGGTTCTGGCATGGTAACAAAGTAAACTAAATACAAAACTGAACAAAAGAGCTGTAACGAGATACAAGATACGAATCACCGCCGCCGAACTTTGGTGGTAGTTAACTTTGCTGTCGTCAGGTACAATACCACGGGCCATCCTAGTGGGGCCGTGTTTCACCACTCCAAGTCCCGTGGTTGTCGATTTCCACTCAAGATGTGCGCAATTAAAAGAAAAATTGAGCAGTATTGCGATGTCTTTTCTTTTGAATTTGATTTCTCGGAAAAGGCTTTCACACACGTTTGGTGTTTTCAACAGCAGACGGGATGGACCTCATAATCACGAAGGCCTGCTGTTTAGTGATGGGAACCAGCAACCACGGGAATTAGATTGGCGAACCACAGAAGGACCGCTAGGCTAGATTTGGTATAGAAACGGACGACAGTGAAGCTGCCTACCACCAATGTTGACTGGTGGCCGGTTTAAACTCCGAACCCTAAGGCAAGCCGGTGACAGTGGGTTAAACAGCTTCAGCGCCACTAACCACCATTAGTCGGTAGGTAGTTAAAAATTGGCGCTGCCTAAATTAAAGGCGACTAAGTTAAATTTTACCGATCAGTCTTGTTGACCGTCAATCTGACACTTGTCAAGGTTTCAGTGTTTGGTGACCGATATCTGTAATTGAGCAGCAGATCGCGACCGCAGGGTTGTTCACTGGGCGTTCAACGAAAGAAATACTGCGGCCTTATATAAGGCAATTTATTACGGCAAAAAGGAAACACGTTTCCTTTGTACTTAGAAAAGTGCCTACATGTAGACTAAGCAACAAGCAGTGCCAAAGAGAAAACAGAAAATGGAAACGGGGAGCTAGATAAAGGTGGGCAGTGAGTGGAAGCAGATTAAAGAGAATAAGAACGACAAGAATTTTCCCGTTTATTTCACTTCCCCAATGTAAATGCATTGGGTTTGTTAGGTTTTCAAAGAGCACGTGTATAATGTGGCATGAAGAAGCACTGAGTAATCCTAATAAACTAAGATATCGCGGGTAGCCACTTTCATGCCCTAGAGGTTCTCGGGGGATTACGCCAGCTAATAAATTCGACCCCATAGAACCTGATTCTTTGTGCGTGCCTTCACATGAGTGAAACCAGCACGAGCACAAGTCGGCTTCGAGAATTTATGCAACTGCTGTCTGTAGAATAACACGGTAA